ATGAATGCTTGAGGCAGAACAAAGACTTGGTGTACCTAAGTGCACAAACAACCCAGAATAGAGAAGAACATGCGTGCACCCACCCAAGTGCACATGCATGCAATTAATTATTCAACTCGCGAACAGAACACTTCATGTTTTGAGGACTGATCAGTGTAGAGAAAAGTTCAAACCTTGCCAGAGTTCTTTCAACTCATCAGTCAGCTACGTGAAGCCACAACGTAATAATCACGCCACACTACAACTGTGTGTCGGGTTTAGACTGCTTTCAAATTGGTGGTAACTGGCTATAATATGAACATTAAACAGAGAGTTGTATGGTCAATGTCTCTGTCTCTGTCTCTCTTTCAGTAGTAACAATACAATACGACACACCTCCACCGAAGTATATAGAGAAGATATCCGAGGCACCTGACGCTTTCAGCTGACCAGCAGCATCTTGCAGTATACACTCGACCATGCTCTGTTCAAAATCCTTGTCCACAGACCTATCAGCATGCACAAAAGCACACAATATTTTCTTTCAATAGTACTCCTATCGTTGGGACGACGGCAGATATGCTCAAAGATGTAGCATACAAGGCTCTGCAAGTCCTCCATATAGGAACAATCACCAAGAGGACAAGACACTGAAGACGCCACCATTACACTACTTGGAAGTACAAATACTTCAACCAGATGCGGTGGAATACCTCATCCGCATACTAGCATTGGTTCCGATCGTGTAGGGACAAGATAAACATGGACATCCTTTCAGGGTTTTCTTTAAAAAAATTAATAGTATGCGCCGTTAACACAAGGGGCAAGATGTGTAGAGAGTTCAAATGCTAATGTCATTACTCTGTCAACTGTCAAATCATTTACCAAGAGCTTTTCGACCCATCCGTGCATACATGGGAATGAAGTAAAACAAACAAAACAGAACTACCTAATACACTCCAATAGAATGGCGAAAAAGTGAGTTTGAGACCTAATGAAACCTAGCACTTGTTTCGCCATAACGGAGTATGAGGGAGAGAAACAAAGGGCCTGTTTTGACGACCATAGACACAGCTCTAGCTCAGTACTAACAAGTAATATACATACATACGGTAAAGAGTTTCAGCGCCATGTGTTGCTTCCACACTCATTGCACTGGTTTGTGGCTGTGGATGTACAGTGCCGCTAATGTATGATGGTGCGGCAAATCGCACATCGGGGTGATAATGTCGACGTGCTCATTGCACAGCTACGGGATGAGAATAGATCGAAAAGCTTTTGGACAACGCTTTGACAGTTGACTCATATTTTGTCACCAAAATCCCTAATCAAAATGCATGCTTTGCCATCTTTCCTCAAGTTGAACCTGTAGAGCTCATTCATCTTCTAGAGAGCACGCCTGCCTCCAACAGTACACATTTACAGCTACGCAGAGACAAAGATTTCCAACATGTGGCATGCACACAAAATGTTGACAAGACTCGTGCGTTACGAGTATCCCGCGACCGTAGCACACCTTAAGTTTGAGCGAACACGACGGGAAACGTGTATATCTTCAGCACAGATTAAGCAGAGAGTGCAAAAAGTGCTATGGCAACTGGATGTACCTACGACGTTCCCAGGACAACCATCTGATTTGCACGAACCCTGTGAACGAAGAGCTAAACATGTTTTGGGCGATGTAAGTCCAAGAACGTGAGTAATGTGCTCAAGTCTATGCATCGCTGTCTTATGACATAGACCTGAATCTCATTCGTATATTCTACCTACAGTGCTGCTCAATGAAATCCAGTCGCGTCACTCAAGTACACGCCGGGCGTTGCGCAGCCCTACCTGTGAACACTGGGCTGCGAAATTGTGCAAGTCGCAAACTTGAGTGACGCTGTGACTGGATTTCATTGAGCAGCACTGTATGTGTGAATGAGCTCAGTACTGATAAACAAGGACTGCCATATCCTGTGATGCTCACAAATTCCACAAGAAAAAAGCAAGAAACAAGCCCAAGACTCATCACCGCAGCACCTACCTGACATATTTGTTGAAGTTGCAGTATGAACAAAGCTGACGACAGAATGGCCACTGAAATGATAGAAACACATTCATGATTTTCAGAAGTTATTTGCATGAATTATTGTTTGAACAACATTAATATTCAATGTGTTGGTCACTGAATACCACTGCTGACGTACGTAAAATAAATTCTGAGATCCTCTACATGTACAGGCAGGATATAATAAAATTTAATACGTTATTGAATGGAAACCAGGATTCACAACTACCCAATGATGCAGAGTCCATTCAGATACGACGACGTAACCACGCTCATCGGAAATGGCTGCAATCTAAGTGCCAGACTGATTACGATGCGTTTAAAGAAGCCAGGCGTATCGTGACTCGTATGAACCGTGAATTGAAGACGAATTTTTTTCAGTCTAAGTTCACCAGTGTTCAAGGTAATCCCAGGAAAACGTGGAAGGTTTTGAACGAGTTATCCGGAAGACAACGTGTTCAATCCGTTCCACAATGCTCTGCAAGCAACATTGGGTGTGTATTTGCTGATGTTGTCAGTGATCAACAACGAGCACCTGAACTGTGTCTTCCACAGGGCCCAGTGGGACCTAAGGGTTTTACATCCTTCAGTTCGGTGTCAATAGGTTGTGTGCGTAAACTGTTGGGTTCCTTGGACACCAGCAAAGCGACAGGCAGTGATGGAATACCCGCATTTCTTCTGAAGTCCTGCGCTGATTTGCTAGCTCCCTCCTTAACATTGATATTTAATGCATCTCTTGCTGTTGGTTCTGTGCCGGACGGCATGAAGTTGGCACATGTCACGCCGGTATTCAAGGCTGGAAATCCTCAAGATCAGGGAAATTATCGCCCTGTGGCTCTCCTGCCAATTGTGTCGAAGCTGTTAGAACGAATTGTCCATAGACAACTATCCTCATTTCTAGACAAGGAGAATTTGTACCCTCCCTGTCAGTTTGGCTTTAGACCTCAACATTCAACGGAAGACGCTCTAGTTTTCGTCACGGACACGTTTGTTCGCGCTCGCGATGCCGGACAAATTACTGGTGCTGTGCTCGTGGATATGTCCAAAGCATTTGACAAGGTCAGGCACCAAGTGCTCATTAATGATTTGTTTGAGCTTGGCATATCTGGTTCAGCATTAGTTTGGTTTGCCGACTATTTGTCCAATCGTCGCCAAATAGTGCACATTGCTGAGAACTATAGCCCTCCTTTCCCCTGCATGTGTGGCGTTCCCCAGGGCTCTGTTCTTGGTCCGCTGCTTTTTGTACTCTATGTTCGTTCGATCCAGTCCATTGTCTCCGAGTTTTGTGTGAAAGTTATTCAATTTGCTGACGATATTCTATTGTATGTTTGCGGTACGCAGAAGAATGCGCTTAGCAACTCCCTGTCTGCAGCTGTCTCAGCCATTAGTACCTGGCTGTCAAACCGCAATTTAATTATAAATGCCCGGAAGACACAAGTGCTCTTCCTGTCTACGCCACATATTACTGACCACCAATTTGCAGTCTACTGTCATGGAGTGCAGCTCAAGCAAGTGACATGTGCAAAGTACCTTGGAATACATTTGGACCAGGATCTTTCTTGGAGGACTCAAGTTGATTCTATGGTCACCAAACTTGCCAGTAAAATTGGTATTCTGTTCCGAAATCGACACAATATTCCGCTGACTTGCCGAGAAACCTTTGTAAAGTGCCTAGTGTTGCCAGATTTTCTATATGCATCAAATTGTTTTTCTGCTGGCCTTTCCTTAACCCAGTTAGGTAGGCTTGAACGAATGCTAAAGCGAGCTTTGCGTTCAGTGTACGATACTGGTTTTTGTAGCCCATCAAGCCCTTTATTTGCGAGACTTGGTCTAGATCGTTTGGCATCCATGTATTGCAAGAAATTACTGTATCTGACGTGGCCACTGCTGATTTCATGTGGCCACTGAGCAAGATGGCGGAAATTTCGTCACGTGCATGAAACATGACCATCACCATGGTAGTTTCCGACAGCGTCACGACGCTGACACAGTGAGATGTAGAAAATAAGAAAAAATCTGTGACCTACCAAAACAAAAGTGCAAAGATCATAGCCGGGTTCATCATGCTACACTTACCAGACTAGACTGTAGTACGAACTCGGAGGAAGACCAAAATAATGTTTGTAGCTGCTGGATGCGATCGGAAGAAGGAGGCTCCGTCACTCCTCTCGATCTTCATTGCATGCGGAGCTGCTAGAATCGTAGTGCTTTCTCTTTCGACTCTCGGGGAAGAGAGGTACCTGGCGGGGGAGTGTAGACGACAAGTGTTGCTTCACCGTCGTGCGGAGACGCTGCAATTCATTCACGATACCCTCGTGGCGATGCTGGAGTGAATTGAACTCGTGGTGGATACTCTCGCCACCCTGCTCGGCGAGGAGTCCCATACCAACGCCGAACTCTTTCACAGCGCCTGGCAAATGTGCCTCCAGGAGATGCAGTTTGGGCGTGATGTTGCCGAGCCGCCTGGCCACCACCTCACGTCTTGCTGTTGCCATGAACGTGGACACATCCGACTGGAACTCGGTCACGTCACCAGGCGACATCCGCAAGCACGACGAATATCTCCGCCTGCAAGCAGCAAATTGCTGGAACAGGGCCATGTACCGCTCCTGGATCATTTGAGCTGCCGCGATGAGCTCCTGTGTAGAATTTCTACATGGCTCACCAATGACTGAGGAAGGTGCCGATGTGAGGTCGTGTAGCACAGCTGGCTGGAGGGCATGATGCACATGGTTGCCTACGAAAGCTCGACTGTGGTAGCGTTGTCGGCAGATGTGGTGCCGTTGAAGAATGATCTCCAAGGAGGACTCGCATGGGCCAGACATCTTCTTTCCGCCTTTATCTATCTCCTCTTTCAACTTCCGGATGTCGGCCTCCAGCATTGCTGTAGCTTGTGCCTGCTGTGCGCACTGCACCTGGATCGCACCTGCGGCCGCTTGTAGCTGTGCTTGCGATAGCATGTGGCCATGCAGGGCAAGCCAGTCCAGCTGGTTCTTGAGACCAGTGGCTGCGTTCTGCGCAGTACGCAGCTCAACTTCCTTGCCACGATATCGCTGGTGAGCAGCAACGACTGCGCAGAACTCGTTGCTGTCAGTATTAACGGTGGGGCTAGACGCTGCAGCAAGTGACACATCTAAAGCCTGGCAGTCCTTCACCATGGCTTCGAAACCCCACTGGAATATGCCCAAGTCCAAATGAAGCACGGGAATAACAGCGTTGCAGATCTCAATGGGCAGGATTACTGGCCGAATACAATTGTCGTATTTCTTGGCATCAACGAGGTGACCACCTGCTGCTGAGAAGCTACTATACTTCTCACTGAGTGAGGCGAGCGAGCGGCGATCTACAGAGGTGCCAGTGCCGAGCTGCATATCTGCCTTTGTGATGGTGCAGTGCAGACAGGGATGTACAGCACTGGACCCTGATAGTCCATATTGCACGGTCTGAAATTCGTAGTCACCATACAGCAACACTCTGACAGTCTTGCCCTGCCACGATGTTGTCTGCAATAGCTTCACTTGCTCGACGAATGGGTGCAGTGCTGTGGTTAGGTTTGCTGGACTGTCCTTTGCAGCGAAGACCAGGAATGGCACAATATTCCTGATGGCATTTGCCTTCTTCACGTTAACAATTTGGAAGGACATCTTGAAGGAGTCACCACCGTGGTCTCCTCCAACCTTGACCCAGACTTCGTCTGCTGGAATAGCACCCTCGTGCCAGTGCAGTTGCTGTGTTGCCTGCAGTTCGTCTAGGTACGAGTGGACTGTGCCAACAAGATCTGGAAGCATCACGACTGGCCTTGCTACCACAGTACCAGTCTTGTTCACGAAAGGAACATTCTCGGCCACTATATCAAACCGCAGCTGATCATGTAGCTGCTGACGCATTGCACGCTCCGACTCTAAGCGGACACCATAGTCTTTCATCCACACTCTCAGCTTTCGCAGCTGGTTCCAGGGCATGTGTAAGTCAGCCTTCAAGGCGAGTGTGCTGCCAGTGCCTGGTGTCTTAGCTATAATGCCGGCAGCATTGAGGAGTGCATCACGCTCCTCCTTCTCCATATGACTAATGCTAGCAGCTTGCTGAGCAATCACGCCTTCACTGCTCCCACACACTAGTGTGTGTGTCTGTTTCAGCTCAGCACTACGGCGACGTACTGTTCTGGCCGAAGCATCCTGTGAAGGAACTGTGGCTACTGTAGTTCGCTTCCAAGTTTGCGACGGACCCCTCCCACGCAATTCCAGCATTCCATTATCGGCTTTTGTTTTGACAAGGTGCCCTGTGAGCACATCTGACATACTTCCTCTCAACTTTGTAGGTGATGCATTCAGTATGTCTCCAACCTGTGTGGCCTTTGTCACTGTGTGCTTTTGTGTATTGTTACATGTTTGGACATGCGGTCGAAGCTGAGACAGGGGCATGACTTCTGAACAGCCATTAAATGCGTCTGCATAATTGTCACAATGTATACATATTTCCGCCAATACACTCTGACAGCAAACAGATGGCAACACAAGCTGCGAAGCAGACATTGCAGATCTGCACACAGGACAACTTGCTTTAATCCCAAGCCAATGCCAAATGCAATCTGTGCAGAAAGAGTGCTGGCAACACTTGGCTTCCACTGCTTTGTTGATGATATGTTTGCATATGCTGCAAGTTATTGCAGATAATTGCTGTATGAATCGGCTTGGACTTAGTTCTTGCCCAGTGCTGTAATTCGGCGTAGCGACAGCAATCAGCTGCTCCTTTGTTATATCTTGACCGGCATTTTCCTTTTGAGCAGCTTGTGACTGTGTGTGTGTGCATGTATGATCAGGGTCTTTCTGGCTTGCTGTGGTGCTATGGGTGCCAATACTGTCATGTGCACATTGCCCTGGCCGCGGAGTTGCAGAGGCCGATTCTGAACGGCTCTGTGGTTGTTTGCGCACCACGTCTTTCCTTTTCGGCCGGCCAGGTTTCTTACTTTCACTAACAGTGGCACATGTCTGGCATGTCTTAATGTCTTCATCAACGTAATCATGCGGATGCCATTGAACAGGGCTACCACAGCCTCCGCCACAACGCTCATACTCAGAGCTGTTCACATGGCTCAAGCACCTGCATACTGTTTTGTAGCACAGGCTACACATTCGTTTGGGGTGCACATCCAGCTGGTCATTTCCCACATGCACACCAAAGGCTTTCTGGATGCCACTAGCATGGCTATCCACTGCGTAGCTCGTACTTTGTTTCGCCTTAGACAGCTTCACGCCACCTATACGGCATAGCAGGGATAGTGACTGTGCATGACCTGCCATTTTTTAGCAGAACCACTACCCAAGTACGTCCATCAGTTTCCGGAATTCGCCATCGGATTGAAAAGAAACCAAAAGAATTTACCACCTAAAGGGTCTAGCTTTGACAGGAAAATGAAAACAGGACGCTGAAAAATGGCAAAAGAACGTAGACAGAGCATTCCAATGAGGTACAAAGCGTTCGTGCAACAGAAGACGAGAAATATTCTCAACAAAACCTTCGTGTCGTTCGAAGAAGAATCGACTGGAGTCGCTGTTTTTTCTTCTCGTGTGAGTGCATCGTTGCCTTGTCCCTCAGATGTGCTGTATTAGAAGCACTTTCGAGGCACAGAAGTAGCTCAGACACATGGAAATCCGACATGTTCAAGCCTGTCTCGATCGACCGGTGAGAAGAAATTTGAAATTCTCAGGAGTCGACACAACCACTGAAGGCCGCCTCGTACCCAGGCACCAGTGGCCACGTACGGATCGTTTGGAACAGCAGTGGTGGCGCTGTTTGGAAGGCCGCTGTAGTGTCATATTAAGGGGTCGTCGCAAAAGTTTTTTGTCGTCCCTGAAACGAACATGATTCATTTGGGGGGGAGGGGGTGCGAGCCAAAATCACAAGTCGACCGACACTGTACATATGACATGTACATGCATGCGATTTTCGTCGTCCAGCATAGCAAGCTGTGTTCGTTTCAGAGGGAGGGGAGGGGGTCCGAGTACGAAATGAACGATGTTCGTTTCAGGGACGACAGAAAACTTTTGCGACGACCCCTAAGTCAAATGTTCGAGCGTTTAAATAATGGTCTTGCAACGCGCAGCCTTGTATCACGCACTCTTAAGTTGCCCATGCTCAGAACTGCCTTTGCCAGTCATGGCGCTTCCTTCCAATGTGCTAAGCTGTGGAATGATTTGCACCCTCTAGCTCGCTGTGTGGATAACTCCGCCCGTTTTAAGAAACTGTTACCCCAATGCCTTGCTTTTTCACGCTAGTAATTATGACTTTCAGCTATGCAAAATGCGAACATGATCACCTATCCAATACCGGTAGTCTATTATATTAATTATTCATATCTTTTTGCATCTTTCCCTCGAGTGGGTCTATTGTTATTAGGCAATTGTCTGTTATAGTCACCACTATAAATAAAAATCCAAAAAAAATCCAAAATATGCTAATTCTATTGTGCGAACACGCAACAATTTCACATTCAAAGGCCGAGTATGAACACGAGGGGACAGCTAGCGACAAGAAACAGTTACTAGCATACATAGTTCAAAACATTGTGGCTACATGCCCAATGTACCGGTACTTATAACAGCCCAATGTCGATATCATGCCAATTCAAGAAACATTTTCACTTTGAAAAAAGCACATTACAAATATTTCTAATTCAGTACTTACATGAACGTACACAGCAATGGCTTCGGGTGGTTGCTGACTCAACTTCGCGAAGCTCACGGCAGCCTGTTTGTACTGGCGATAGCGTAAGGTATTCGGAAATACAAAGGCACAGTTTCTTGATAGTCTTCTGACGTCCATCGTACTTCAAGTGCGCACATAAGCACTCCTCAAATCGGATGTGCAGCAGAAAGAAAGCTGTCAATAAAATAACAGCATTGTCCAGTATTCTCAAATACAGACTGAAAGCATGGCTTTTGTAGAAGAGGCAGTACTAGGGAGAAAGAAACGAACGGATGACCACGCGACCAAGCTATCTTGCCACAAACGATGTTGACTTTGATTGAATTTGAATACAACAATGCTGCTCCGCGATTATCCTGATCTGTTTTCAAAATCCACAACACGTGCGCATGCAGTACATAACATTGGTACATTGATGTCACGTCAGCTGCATGATTTCTTTTTGTCACTGCAGTTTTTCGCGCGGATTTCGTTTGCGACATAATCCGGGGCGTCGTCATCTTCTAGAAAATTGGCACTGTATTTTAATTTTTTTAATTTTTTTATTTATTAAAATCCTCTCTACGAGTGTTGTCTCGACTTCGCCAGGGCCCGAGTTTGACCTTCACCTTTCCACCTTTCTAGCACCTACACGTAAACGGAGTCCATTTTTTGGGCCTCCGTGTTCTTCTTCGCTGACTTTCGCTTCTTAGCCTCCATTAATTTTGTAGCATTTTGCATAGCTTTTGGATTTCGGACCACCTAGCGGGGATGGAGCATTGGATACACTGGCCTTCGCAATTCGCCCTAGAAATCATCCCACTTCCCAGGATATATCTTCAACAGGTAACGAATGAAATCCTTTTTTTGATTTTGGGCCTAATTAGTTTGGTACGAAGATATAGGGCGATGAGTGCGAGGAAATTGTCGTTCGCTGACAGTAATTCGCATGACCGTATACGGCCCTGCTTAACAAACGCTCAAATACAGATATAGATATTGGTGGGTACGGGTCCGGGTAGTTTGCACAACTAATAAAATTTAATAATGTCAGATGTGCCCAAATCCCCCCCCCCCCCCCCCCCCCCCCACACACACATAAATGATTAATGGGCGCGTTCGACTACACACATTTTCGTCCATTCTAGAATACTCCACGGTGCATGCACCGTTCGATGACACAAATTCCTGTGCCAGAATCGACGGAATCCAAATCCATCAATTCTGAAGAGAGAACGGAATTTCTAATTCTCCCGCCAGAACTAATGCACTCGACGTACACGACATGCTAGGTCCACGTGCGCGTGAGGGTGTACAGGATTCCACGTGATCTCCTTTTACGATTTTTACATGTACATGTAGTCGTTCGTTTAGTGGCCGCAATCCGTTCATTCTGGTCATTTGAGAATTCTAAAACCTGGGCCCAGAATGTGTAATCGAAAGCGACCAATGAATTATGTTGTTCATAAAAATTAATACCTCAGGGACTATGCTGCACGAAACGAATAAGTCAAACAATAAAATGCAATGCGAGAAAGTTTCGTCTGTCCGTGCAAGGGTGCTTCCATGTACTTACTGTACTACAGTCGTCGCCAAACAAATCTGGCCAATGCCATGGATACAGTGGTATGGTACGCGTGTTCAACTAGTAGTAGTTAACTACAGACAGTCAGTACTTCATCGTTCATGGTGGCATGGCATGCATGCATTTTACAGCACCAGCATGCACAGCACTGAACTCAGAACAGTCTGCACTGCACTGAGTGTATGCAGGCCTGGCATGATGTGCTGTGCACTATAGGCAGTGGCAGTGTGCGGTACAGCTACCGGTAGCTATCATAGCATTGGACAGATTTTTTTGGCAACGACTGTAGTACTTCAAGTACTTTTTGTTTTTTTTTGTAGACCACAGTGAGTTGTATAAACCATGGTATATGACTGGCTTGTGACCAGTACTTGTACCAGTACAGTCGACTCCACTTACTGTAAAACGAACTCGCGTATAGCGAATTTCGTGATATGGCGGACCTTTGTCCATGTCCCTGTTTGAACCCATGCACAATTGACCCTTTATAGCAAACAGTTTTCGTTTATAACAACTCAAATATTGTAGGGCCGCATGTAAACCAAGTGCACTCGACTCATTCCAGACTATACTGTCATGGGCCACTTGCCATCCATGACTTGCTGTTGTGAGTGCATTTCTGTTATAACAAACTTCGGCTATAAAATTCTCCTGCACAATGGTGTTCGTTATACATGTAACTCTGTCCCCGGGAAAATTGCAATTCCGCGGCCGCGTTTTTGTCCGCGTTTTTTGCGATTGTTTAAAAGACCGCGTTTTCCGCGATATTCCCGCGTTTTTTGAACTTTTTTGTTGCACTACACGTACACACAGTGCACTGTCCGGTCAGCAACGTCTCATCGTGGCGGCTTTTTACTCGAATATGACGAGTGCTTACACCAGAGACTTGTAACTGATTGATTTCACTACATACTCACTGAAAATTGCCGCACATCAATAGTATTCACCGCATATTTACCGCATATTTACCGCAAATTCACCGCAAATTATGCCATATTATGCCGCGTTTTTCCCCGCGTTTTTTGCGATTTTTTTCCGCAATTTTCCCCGGGGACAGGTAACTGGAGTCGAAAGCCCAAAGTCGTGGGCTTTCACAACTCCCTGCTTATCAGTATGCAAACTGACCACTCCTTCCTTTGGGTACTAGCTGCCACATGCACTGCAGTCATACAATCCTTAGTCCGGGCCTGAGAAATCCGACCGTGTGAATAATAATACTCGGGGGGGGGGGGGGGGGGGGGAGCACCACACGCGCACACCACTCTGCAAACTTGAGCACGACACTACTTTATTCGTGAGGTTGGATTTCTCTAGTCAGAACTGTAATTTTGCTGATTTAGGTCAAGCTAAGCGGTGAAAACAACCCATGTGTGACCGTGAGGTCAAACTAAGCAGAACAGAGGGTCAAACTAAGAAGAAAGTAACCCACATGCAGGAAAGGTAAACATGCTTGAAATAACCCAGGGCTACCGCGGCATGTCAATCTTTGTTGGAAAACAATCCACAAGCAAACGAGGTCAAGCGACATGCAAAGGAGGCATTTCCATGGGATAATGCGATAAGTGACCCATTCAAACATGCATCAGTCCACTGCATATGGATAACCAGGGCCTGGGGGGGGGGGGGGGGGGGGGCATGCAAGGTAAGCCCACCAGGATTGTAGACTTCCTCCACATATGGATGAAACGGTATGCTAGTCTGCATTCCAGTGGATTTCATACAGTCAAACGGCTCAAGCACACACCAGCGGGTTACACAAATTTGAAAGTGTAATATACATCATTACCAGCAATTATCACATGGCACGTGATTGTTGCCCGTACTCCAGCGAATCAGCACCTTTCGCGCCGCGGGCAATAATATGCGATATTGCCCGCAAAAAAATAGTTTATTTGCCCGCAAAAAAATAGTTTATTTCAGTGATCGCGTGACTACGATCGTACGACGAGTCGACTCTGTAGACTGTACGACTCTACGACGAGTCGCAGTGTAGCATTGAGACGAAGATGGAATTCTTTTTGGAGATGGACATCCCGGCAATGGACATGGCCTCGGACGTCTGCCGTGTGGTGCTTGCAGGGATCATTCGTTCAGTCATGTTGGCAGCCTGACCGTCGGTAAGCTTGTGGATTCAGTTCTGCTCGAAGTGGTCCTGTGATCACAAACAATTATTTGAAATAACACAAATTCAACTCAGCGTCGTGCGTTTTCAAATCCTCGCAAAGTCACTGCCTGTGTGTGGTCTTCATGTGCCACGCAAAACTCTTACCAGGCTCATCTCACCTTTGCTTGAACAACAAACACAACAATTCAGGAATGTTTTGCAATGAAAAATACAGCTATCTGGAGCTGAAAAAAAGAAGAAAAATTGTCCTCAGCATTACACACCACCAGGGAGTCGTCAAATACTTGCACTTGTTGCAGTACTGTATTTGACAACTTCCTGATACACATGTAAACATGAAGAAACTCTTTGTGGTAGCACTCTTAATTTTCAATTGAAATTATGATTCTGCTGTATTTTATTGTCGTTGCCATGTCTATTGCTATGACGATGCGGTGCCGGCACTTTTTTTCTGTCTCCGTCTTTCAGTACTGTATACTCTCTGATGGCCTGTAGAAGACTTTTTGTTAGGGTGTAGGAGAAATATCTTCATTTTTCCTGTTTTGATAATGATAGCACATCAATATACATTGTGGTCATAATGTGTTGGCATTTGGGCTAATTTCAACAGCAGCCCAATGGTCTGCTCTGTGGGCCATGTGATAAATTTGTTATCGCATGGTTGCTGCGGGCCTTATGGCATATTATTGCCCCTCGAGGTTAGCCCTCGGGCCTACGGCCCTCGGGCTAACCTCTCGGGGCAATAATATGCCATAAGGCCCTTGCAACCATGCGATAACATATACTTATCACATGGCCCACAGAGCAGACCATTGGGCTGCTGTTGAAATTAGCCCAAATGCCAACACATTATGACCACAATGTATATTGATGTGCTATCATTATCAAAACAGGAAAAATGAAGATATTTCTCCTACACCCTAACAAAAAGTCTTCTACAGGCCATCAGAGAGTATACAGTACTGAAAGACGGAGACAGAAAAAAAGTGCCGGCACCGCATCGTCATAGCAATAGACATGGCAACGACAATAAAATACAGCAGAATCATAATTTCAATTGAAAATTAAGAGTGCTACCACAAAGAGTTTCTTCATGTTTACATGTGTATCAGGAAGTTGTCAAATACAGTACTGCAACAAGTGCAAGTATTTGACGACTCCCTGGTGGTGTGTAATGCTGAGGACAATTTTTCTTCTTTTTTTCAGCTCCAGATAGCTGTATTTTTCATTGCAAAACATTCCTGAATTGTTGTGTTTGTTGTTCAAGCAAAGGTGAGATGAGCCTGGTAAGAGTTTTGCGTGGCACATGAAGACCACACACAGGCAGTGACTTTGCGAGGATTTGAAAACGCACGACGCTGAGTTGAATTTGTGTTATTTCAAATAATTGTTTGTGATCACAGGACCACTTCGAGCAGAACTGAATCCACAAGCTTAGGCCGCGGTCACACCGAGCTCGATTCAGCCGTTCAGCCGAAAAAAGCGCTTGTTTACGTCACTATTACCATGGAAATGGCTGAAAAATGTCCTACAAGCGACTTTCAGCCGTGGCTGACTCTCAGCCGTTTTTTTCCGGCTTGTTTCAGCCACAGCTTGTACAAGCGGCTGAAAGCCGAAATTCAAAAAATATTTGAGTGC